CGTCCATCCCTGTGTCTGTCCATCCATCCATCCATCCATCCATCCATCCATCCATCCATCCATCCATCCATCCCTCCCTTCCTTCCCTCTGCACCCAGCTCCTTACCCTCTCCTTGGCATGCTCACAGAGGGTTGCCAGAAGCCTCCCCAAAATTTTTAGGCTTTCAGAGCAGCCTTGCTACCAAAGCTCAGTTCTCTGGCCAGAATTGCTCTGTTGGAGTTAAGACTCCTGTTGCCTCTGGGGCTGGTGGGAGGGACCCACATTCTCTGTGACCTGCTGGTTTCTTCCAGGAAGAAATAACATTTTCCTGAGCTTTTTTTTTTTTTTTTTAGGGAACAAACCTGGGGAAGTCCTCGTCTTGCCATTCTTCCTTCACATCCACGTTTTCCATCCGCAAAGTGGCTTCTGTGGTTCCCATCGTGCTCAGAGAGGGGCTGGCTGCGCGGCAGTTCCCTCGAGGAAGGGCTCAGTCTGGAAGGTGGAAGGCAGGAGAGGTTGGCATCGAGCACCCTGGCCCGGGAGGGTTTAATCTGAACCGTTCAGAGCAGGTATGCTGATACCATGCCCCACAGAGAAGCAGAGTGATAGCTGCTTGTTTTGCCAAAGCAACAAGGCAAGGACATGGGGTTTTGTAGCTACCTGACTTGCTTTGGACAAGAAAGAGGAGGTGAGGTTGGCCTTGGATCAAAGCAAAAGGTCTGCCCGTGCTCTGTGTGACCTTAGCACTTCTCCCTGAGGATCAGCACTGCCTGGGCTGATGTCCACCCATTTTTCCCTTGCTATTTCTCTTCCAATACTAATCTCAACATAAACAAGCACCTCTGCTGAGGGAAATGAAACGTGGCTGAAAGGGAAGAGAAGAGCTCCTCCCAGGCTGGTTTCAGGTTGGTTTGGCAGTAGCACCAGTTTCCATTTTGCTGGCCTGGGCAGAAGTTAATGGCTTTAGTTTTGCAGAGAAATTCCTGACTGGTGCTGCCTGGCCTGGGCTCCATTCCCATGTCTGTCCCTGCACCCCGAGAGAAATGGAAGAGGGCAGAGAGGCCTTCACAGGGATGTTGAATGTCCTTCCACAGCCCTGAAGAACTCACAGCTCTGCCTTGCTTCCAGGTAAACCAAAGAGATGCCAAAAATCTGGAGCACCTCAAATGGAGGCAAGGCGGGGGTGCCGTTCCCTGGGCTTTCTCCTGCACCGGTGTGAACAGAAGTTCCAATCCAGCGAGCCTTGTTCTCACTCGTACTAACACCCCAGCAGCACGAGGTGCCCTTAAGGACCATATATTATCATTTACCTTCACTAGAAGGTTCCTACGCTGCCAGCTAGCAAAAACCAGACCTCTGCCCCGATTTCCCAGGGGCTGTTCTGCAGAACCTGGCAGGACCAGCTCTGGTCAGAGGAGCAGATCCGCTCTGCTCTCAGCTGGGTGTTGCTGCAGCTGAGCTTAGGAGCACCTGAGGCTGGAGGGGACAAGGTCAGGCCTTATATAGAACATGTTCAAGGGAAATCAGCTCGTATGTCAGGCACATGCATTAACCTGTCCACCGCAGGACGGTTGTGAATGCTCTTCCTGAGCTCAGCCTTTACACTGTAAATGTACCCAGGCACTGGCTGGATACTAACAATTTTTTTTTTTTTTTTATTTTTTAGGATAAGGGACCTAGGGTGATTTGCCAGATGGATGGGGTAACTGTCTCTGTTTCCTGGTGTCAGGGAAATCAGCAGGTAGCAGAGCTTGACCCATGGCTCTATGGCTCTTCTGGCAAGCCAGTGCTTTTTCGGCTTCCTTTGGAGGCTTATATTTACAGAGGGTGTCACGGGTGATGATCTGGAGGGAGATAAATCTGTCTGCGTGTATCTGGTTTAAAGGAATGAAGCTACGTAGAGGCCTGAGTAAATCCAGCATCTGTCTTTATTACAGGCGCTGGCAGAGACAGGAATCAGAGCAAAGGCGCTCGCTCTCCCTGCCCCACGTCTCTCAGCCTCCCCTCCCGGCACACACACGGGGTAAGCTGTCCTCCCCCCCGCCCCGCTGCCTGCCATGCCCATGACACCGTCACACATGTCTCCAGGTTTGATTTCCCTACATGCAGGCAAAGGAGATACCTCGGGGCTCAGAGAGACCCCACCTTCCCTCCCTCCTCCCCACCGCTGTCATCCGCTTTCTGCTGACCCTGAAAAGCATCATGGAGGGAGGAAGAGAAAGGAAAGACATTGAAGCAAATCCCAGGCTGGCGTCTGGTGTTTCTTAATCTCAAACCTTGCCCAGCAGCGTGGAAGCCCAGATGATGCTCTACTCACCGATGCTTGTGGCTAACGAGGAACAAAGCAGATCCTGCCTGTATCCCAGCCGGGCATTCCTCCCGATGGAGCCGGGCTGCTCAGCAGGTCCAGCGCCCCGATCCGGATGCGGATACGTGCGGTTTTCTCAGCGGAGGAGTGTGGGGATGCATCTAGGTCGGCCTTTCTCGCAGCAGTTGTTGCTTTGTGCTTTGGATTTTTGTTGATGGGGGGGGTGGTGGAATTGAGGGCAGTTATTTGTATTCTTCCATGGCTGCTGCTTCCTCTGCTGCCTCCCTCCCCTCCAAGGTATTTTATTATTATTTTCCTCTTGCAGCTGGCTAAGCCTCGGTCTCTTAAATCAGCTAATTGCACTGCTTTTGTGTGTGAGGAGGATGGCGGTGGTGGGGATGACAGGGAGGGGGGTGTTATGGAGGATGGGTGGAGAGAGGAGCAGAAAGCACCCCACTGTCAGTGTCACCTCTCCTCCAATTGGCTGCGAGGTACCAAATATCTCCCTACACTCTTCCTCCGGATGAGTGATGCTGAGCACACCGTCTCCTTGCTGCTTTCAGTGGGAGCGAGGGGTGCCCATCATCCAGCAGGATCTGGTCCTAGAGGAGGTGTGGGAGCTGGAGAGGGGTGGGTGGGAAGGGGAGGGCTTTTCAATACAGTGCATCATTCACTGAGAAAGTAAAAGGTGTCCTCAGCGTGCGGCAGGATGCGGGATTTAATGGTCCGTCTCGCCTCGCACATACAAAGCTGATTTGTTCCTAATCCTCAGGCACCGGTCTCACTTCTGGTGCCAGGGGCTGTACAGACAGACCCAGCAGATGGCTCTCCTTGTGCTGGGGGATCGACTCCTGCTCCCTGCCTCCAGGATCTCTTTACAAATCTAAGAGTGAATGAAGCAGCAGCGATTGCCACCTGCTCCACACCTGGGGTCACGTCTCTGCCTTCTGGTTCCTGGGCTTCAGCAAACGGCCTTCCCTCCAGCTCAGGCCAGAGCCACAGCCCAGCTGCTGGTGGAGGTGGGGTTGGTTTGATCACAGAATCCTCTAGGTTGGAGAAGACCTTGAAGATCACCCAGTCCAACCACGATGACGTCTGCTGTCAAAAAATCCCCCCCACGTTTGCACGGGGCAGCCAACGTGCTCGGTGCTGTACAAAGATGAAGGTGGCTCTGCCTTTGGCAGTGACCCTCCAGCGGAGCAAGTGTAAGGGTTTGTCTTGGCCGAAAGGGCCTGAGAGGACATCTCTCATCATATCAACTGACAGAGCGGGACTGGGAAGGGCTGTGTGCGTGCTGCCCTGGGATTTTCCTGTTGCCACCCGCTAACGTCACGTTTGATTCTTTTCAGGGCTGTTCAGTGGGCAGAGGGGCTGCAGTGACCAGAGCGTGGTGGGGAGGTGGAGGAGTGCTGCGTGGTGGAAGCAGGAGCCTCCCTACTGCACCTCTTTCTCCGTTACAGTAAGAAGAAGAGTCCTGCCTTGGCCCTGGCTCGCACGCAGCCTCCTCGTGCAGTCCCAGCACGGCGCTGGGGCTCTCCAGCGGCGCCGCCTGAGGTCTGCGGGCCCAGAGAAGGGCTGATGTGCTGTGCTGCAGGTAAAGGCACAATGTCACGAGGTGGCTGCCCACCTGGGACACACCCCGCCTCTCCCACCGCTTCACCCACTCCACCCTGCTCCTGTAACCGCGCGTCCCCGCTGGGTGCTCTCGTGTCCCACGTGCTGGGAACGGGGGGACCTTCCGTAGCTCGGCAGGGCTTCCAGCCCTTACAAACACCAGCGTGGCAACACTGGTTGTTGTTCTGTAGGATGAGTGGCTCCGGCGGGACGAGGTGCTGAGGACAGTATTTACTCAGTCCAGGGGATGTCACTATAAAGAAAGCGACACACATCAGTGTTAGCCAAATGCCAGCAGCTCCTAGCCACGTAGAGACAGAGAGTCTCATGTTTTGGGCATCCCTGTGGTCCAGAATACACAAGATACTAACGGATGCTTCAGGGATGCATTACATTTCTTTATCTATAGTATATATTTCTATATTAGAAGCAGACAGAAACTCCATGGGGACAGAAAAAGATGCCAGGGAGTCTGTAACACTCGATGTCTCCAGAGTTAATTGTCAAAGTCTGCAACTCATCTCCGGCTAAGGTGAATATTTACCTTTTATTTCCTTTTTTTTTATATGTCTTCTCGTGTTTTCCAAGGCAGTCTGAGCCTGCTGAGAGCACATGATTGTATATGATGGCATGTGAATGCCATCTACTGGCTGCAGTCCCGGGACTTGGAGCAAGTGCACTTTTTGCAAAGCCTGTCAGTCGGATCACGGAGGTATTTCATTGAGCACATGCTGATGGGCTGATTTAGCCCCTCGCTGCTTGCCAGGCCACATGATTTTGTGGGGACTCCATTTTCTTCGGGTATGCCGGGGTGTATCAAGTGAACACCCCACCAAGCGGGTTTTCCAGCACTTGTCGTTCCTCTGGGAATTCTCCTGTGCTGAGGCCAACTCCTGCAGAGTCCTGCTGATTCGGGAGAGGCAAGGCAAGAGAACGGGTTGTGCAGGATCAGACCCTTCTTGGTGTTGGGTGTTTTCCCAAGCAGCTTTTTTTTTTTTTTTTTTTTTTTTTTTTTTTTTTTATTAACCCTGTTTCAGTCTCTTTTGTATCTCCACCTGGAATAGTGTGGTTTTATGTTCCTTGATAGCGTGTTTTTTTCAATCTGTGAGTCAAATACTCACATGAGGAGGAGAAAAGGATGCTATGTCCCTTTTGGAAAGACACTGACTGTCATGTGAGCATCTTCCTTTTATTTCCCTGAATTTGATGCTCAGTTTTAGGCAGCGAGAGCTTGTGCTGATGGCGACTTTCTGCGATCCTGCAAGGTCACCGGCAGCCGAGAGGCTCTAGATTACTTTCCCACCTGCACGAACCTGTGATAGAAATTGTTGGCTTGTTCAGAAGTGCTGATGTTATTCTTATTACAGCAAATCCAGCTGTTTCTTGTACACTGGTGGAAGTCAAAGACCTGTTTTGGAGTCTGCCACGGGAGGGCGGTGAATCCCCCCACCCGCCCTCC